ATATATATAAAGCAATCGCACGACACAATCGTAAATAGAAATAGCAAAGGTATATAAAAAATTCATAACTTGGATTCGAACCCTACTCCTCTACACCACAATCTAAATACCAATGCCATTCAGGCAACGTTATACTTCTATTTTGTATGTCTGCAATGTCGGTATTTAAATAAAGAATTAAATTGAATTAAGTTGAAAATCACGGTGTTGACGGAGCGTTCTAGTACACATAAGGTGCCGATTTGCAATATGGCATCAACCGTTGAAACTGCAACGCGAAACCTTCTCTCCGTGGCAAAAACTCCCTTTGGCAGCAAATCGTCACTTGCGGCCGCATATTACTCGCGTCGCTCAGAGAAAAAAATAACGCCGACGCCCAACAAGACTGCGAAGGAGGCTAACAAAAGTACAGTGACTTTCGAAAGGTCTTAAATGACGTATAAACATACAGACAGATACGTGGTTACAACAGAACCTCCGTAAAAGACAACAAATGAATCAACGTATACTACTTGTTCTGAGTTCTAAACATTTTTATCCATGTGCACAGAATGAAATTGAATTTATGTATAGCATGAAATGTAACAAATTCTGTTGAGCAAGCGGAGAAAAGGTTGAACAGCTTTGTGCCTTTATTATTTTATGGTGGACAATCCATAATAAATGTTCTGTAAAATGATTTTGTTTATCATTAGGACGGAATGAATAAAACCTCCGGTCTCGGTAGATTTTATTATATCTTCCTAATTCTATACCCAATTTATGGATATGCAGTCTTAAGTCGTTACTAATTTTGAGTTGTTTCGTAAAATGTCGTTGTGGAGGGTCCAGCCTATGGTTGTTGCAAATTAATAACGTAAAGATATACGTACAGAATTATTTCGAATTTGGGAAAAATGTTAACATCTTGATACTTCTTCGTATCATCCTGGAGCTTTATTTTTATTATATCCCACGGGATCGCAAATGCATGGAATGTGGCTGGCTACCTAATGTATGCGTTTAAAACATGGTGAGTTTTTTGTCAATAAAAGTTAGAAACAGCTTAAACCTGATCTGTCTTTTTTGTTTGTATAAAATTGTGCCGTTATGTGATAGTCAACTGATAGAATTCGGAGATCTCAAACGTCCCTAAAATATATGAGTTTTAAATTTGTAAATGTTTTTACACAGTACACTACACTACAGTACAGAACAAAATAACACATGTTTTTGTCCTGAAATAGATCAGGCTGTCAACTCAGTAGATGTAGACTATTCGAGAGGGAAAACCTCATCAATCAAACCGGGTAAAACGTGTTTTGCGTTAGAGGAAGTCTTTGACAGCTGGTGTTTTGTACCATAACCGGCACATCTGTTTTTCCTCAAAATACAAAAGTTCTGCTGAAGTACCAAGATCAGCCACTAAGAGGCCCATATTTCACCTTGACCTTTGGCTTCCTAAAACCTACCAGCATACCAAATACCATCACAACCCATAAAGGCGTTCTGAAGTTATGCTGATTACAAATGTGCGGAAACACAGAGAGAGAGAGAGAGAGAGAGAGAGACGCGCCAAAAACAATACCTCCATTTTTCATGGAGGTAAAACAATTGGACACAATTCACATGGCAAAGCATTGTGTTTGAGCTCTAAACTAGCCCTTTTTAATGTATTGCTGTTGCTAAAGGCATAACATAACATAACATAACATGACATGACATACACCGTGTACAGAATGGAAACATTGATAAGGCTGCCAACTCCCTCGAACAATTATTCTCCCTATCTGGATATATTCTACTGTTTTTGAATCAACTTGTTAGACCGGTAGAGACCAGAGCGTAGGAGTTTGACAAGGCAACCTGAACGGTAGTGACCTCTGCGTACATGCAAAGCAAGCAATGTGTCTAAATAACAGCCCCGCCATTCTCATGCCCTATTCATAACAAATGGCAATAGCCAGTCATGTAGACATAATAGGCCTTCCCATGTGCCATTCTATATCAATCAACTTGCGCCAAAACAGTTACTCAAGCAGCTGGGTATGATTTGGGGACGGTACTATTTCGTCAGTAACACTGGAGAAATCTCTAATTTAGCAGGTTTATGTATTGGTTGATATGCAAATTCTGAAGACACAACCTGAATGAACAGTGTAACTGACGAAAGGTAGTACAGTTGTACATGCTGCCTGAAACGTCTGAATGTTTTCAAAATGATATCTATATAATTACTGTGTTAAATGGAAAGATATAGTTTTTCAGAATTTTTAAAATTTAAGTTTATTTTAGTCAGTAGTATATAGTCAGCTCCTATTGTTTATCCAGGCTCGGTAAAGGGCAGGGATCATGCTCATTATGCTAAGGTATGTAGATTTATGCAAATGTATGTAATAATTATAGCCAACGAGCTAATTTACGAACTACAATCAAGTGTTTTAAGGGTATGCATAACTAAGAAATGATTTGTTCAGAACTAACAATATGTCCGTCGTAGGAGTATACATTCAGGGTTGGTGCAAAGTGCTGCCTCATCGTTTTTCTTATCACGATGTATGTGTATATTATATCTACTTCTCCAAAGGTTCCACAATCTTGGCCTCCGTGAGTTTGGGGATGGCCGGTGGGAGACCCCAGTACACCGTCATCTCAACGGTCCTCGGCACAATGAGCGGCGGATCAACTGGTGGTAAGATTTGCATGATCATGCTAACCTCGACCTGTGTGTGTGAGCAGAAAAACAGATATGTGTGTAAGGCCGCCGCCATGCTTATTCGATTATATGACTGACATCCATGTCAATTATTTTTCGTCCGTTTCAAAACAAAAACTTTTTTTGCATTGACCATACTGTAAATCATAAGGCAGTTGTAAAATACGCAGATATATGCGGAAAGTTGCAAAACAAAACATTGGAAAACTATTCCCTGCCGAAATCAATTCCGAACAAAAGGAAGAAATTGTGAAGAAATGAAGAGTCTATTGTTCACCAGACCTTAGTCATTGCGATAATTCTTACAAGACTGCTTAAATTGGCCACAACTATATATTATATGTGTTTATGAGCATCAAATGCTTTATACTTTTATGTACTAAATTGTCATGTTAATCTTTAGCACCACACGGTGACAGACACTGAAACACCTGCTTACTTATTAACGTTTACTATACATCCCCATACATCCCCATATCGCGGACAGGCCCATAACGGCTTTTTATCTTCCCCCGCACACATCTTTCGTTATGTTATGTTTATTTTAAAACCATTTCTTTGATTACATACCAATAAGCAAGCAAACAAACAAACAAACACGTTGATGAAGGTTAGACATCCAGGTAATAAGATACACCAAAAAGAAGTTACTCAAGCAACTGGATATGATTTTGGAAACGGTCAAAAACCGTTAAAAACGCCAAAATATCTAAACAAACAAACAAACGGTACCTGGATCTTGTAGTTCATCCCTTCAACCACCTGAGCCTGGAATGACACCGGCCTGTAGCTGATAAAAGACTCTCCGGCGTTGACGAGCTTTTCAACTTCACCCCGAAACTGAACAGTAAAAAAAATACCGATTAGTTGGGTGTTATGTTCTTATCGGTATAATAATGAAAAAGGCTTATTATCTCTCTCTCTCTATCTCTCTTTCTCTGTATATATATATATTTCTTTCCCTATCTCTATTTTCCTATGTCTATATATCTGTCTATTATTCAGTATCTAACAATAGTATTAAACAATAATGTCTATCTATACTGTATCTATCTAATATCTATCTATCTAATAGGATCTATCTGTATCTATTATCTATCTAATAGTAGCTATCTGTATCTATTATCTATCTATCTATCTATCTATCTATCTATCTATTTATCTCTCTCTCTCTCTCTCTCTTTCTAGGGCGTTACATCTCCTCTCCCTCATTATCTGGCAACATAATATTATTCGAGTTTATCTATACTGTATCTATCTATACTGTATCTATCTATACTGTATCTATCTAATATCTATCTATCTAATAGGATCTATCGGTATCTATTATCTATCTAATAGTATCTATCTGTATCTATTATCTATCTATCTATCTATCTATCTATCTATCTATCTATCTATCTATCTATCTATCTATTTATCTCTCTCTCTCTCTCTCTTTCTAGGGCGTTACATCTCCTCTCCCTCATTATCTGGCAACATAATATTATTCGAGTTTCAAATTACAGCCTAAATTCTGTAAAAAGCTCTCTCTCCTATGTCTACATGTGTCTATGTCTGCGTCAGAC